ATCCCTAGATCCCCAACTTACCTGTGTACAATATCTGTGACCACTTGAAGAATTGAACCTGCGACCTGTAGAACCGCCAGTGGTAAGTAGGTCTGTCGTAGGTCCTTAGGTAGCCAGGATTTGATCCATAGACCTGTAGAGTAGAAGTCCAGCTGCAGTCCTTCTAGAAGGTTGGCAAGTGGTCAAGTGGAGTGACTAAAGCAAGCCCATGTTGGAGACGAGGACAAGTGGCAAGGGCAAATAGTAGGACCCCAGTGCGACTGCACTGCGTCGTAGGGTTGTCACTATGCAGTCATGGGAAAGTCTAGAAAGTACCAGTCCGGTCCAGCAAGGACCACGGGGGGGACTGTGTGCCTCATGGGCCAGGGATGCAAGGCAAACGAATGCAACACAGAAGTATAAATCCAGAGGCTGCGTCCAGCCATTCATTGATTCCTGCGGAAGCTCTGCGGAAGCGCTGCTCGGGCGTCTTGTGCAAGGGAGGTCTGCAGATGGCCTGAAGACGAAGAGGGCAGAAGTTAGTGATAGGCTAGTTAGCTGTTAGTGGCCATGTGCCATAGCCATAGATAGTTAGTGAGTGTGTATGTGTGTGTGCAGTGGTTAGCGTGCATGGTATCCAGGGTGATCCGGAGTCGAGTTGCGTGTGAACTCTGAGTCGAACGTGTAAGTGTGGGCGCCCAGCGCCATAGYCAACTSAAGTAAATTYGGATTTGAGTTGAGTTGCAAGCTACCATATCTCCGAGTTTGAGTTGGGTGCACAGCGCCAGGCTATTCTCATCTGTTGCATGCATGTTTGAGTGTGGATTTGCAAGACTGATTTCAGTTACAATTATTACATCATAATCATAGTTGGAATTGTGTCATAATTGAAGTTATTGAACTTATTATCGAAAGTATAACGGAGGCAGGCAGAATTGGAACTCTTTCAATTCACCTTCAGTAATATAGGGTATTTAAAACACTAGTAGTCTAGTACCTTTGTCGGTTCGAAAATACTCGGCCTCCGACCTTTCAGGAGGCCGAAACGAAACGACGGCCGGCGATCAGATTGATCAACGTTGTTCTCGGCCTCCTGAAAGTTCGGGAGCTGGCAAGAACTTGTCGAAACCGGACGCCAAAGGTACTAGCGGTTTAATAAAAAAAAAAGAAAGGAGGTCGTAAGTTGATTGCAGATTAACTTGAGGATTACCTTTAGGATTAGGGCCTTGCGACACCACTGTCAAAAAGGAAAAAAGTAGGGGAAAACTACGCGGGAGTTGCAAAAATGAATTTTAATTCCAGTGTGGGCCAAGATACAGTTTGCAATTGCAGTTCGGGCAATGTATACAACTCAGCTTTCTGGCCAGGTAGGGTGCCCGAAGTGCAATTGCAAGCTGTATTTTGCCGTATTCTTGCAATTATAACTCGTGTTTGTGACTCCCGAGTAGTTACCCCAAAAAAGTATGAGTGCATCTTCTGCAGAAAGTGGCAAGATGCATCTGTTACGTACCCCTTTAAGCTGAGAGCCTACTATTTTCAGACGTCATGATGCCCCATGTGACAGTGCTCTGTTACGCTGCCTTATGCTTTGTTAATCTCTGCTTGTGTGCTGCTTAACACTTTCTGACACCGTCTGTCACTGTGTGTCACTGTGTGACATGTCGGCCTTGTCGTGTTGCAGTCATCCTGAATACGCCGCTTGACTACAGCCTGGATGACTGTATAGAGTACATTCAAGAAGACGAGCTTGTTGAAGTGACGCCCTTGAGCGTTCGGATGTGCAAGAATCCGAAAATGCCGCAGTCGAAAACGAAACGATAAGCGCCCATGCTCGTCTCCGTGATCCAAGTTTGAATGCCTCTCTCTCTCTCTCTCTCTCTCTCTCTCTCTCTCTCTCTCTCTCTCTCTCTCTCTCTCTCTCTCTCTCTCTCTCTCTCTC